AACTCTGCAAGCACTTTTTAGTGACTATTTAATGAGCTAACTCTTCTATTATATGGCTGGCATTATACTTCAACTGCCTACTTCAGTGAGAAATACATCAGTTGAAATAAGACAGCAAGGCAACTTATTCTGGCAGAGCCTAGACCTTCTCAGCAGAGGCCATTCTAGAGTTTTCTGGAAATTTTAATCTAGGGTCAACAGCCTATAAATAGAGGAGGATGCCAGGCAGACGTTTTCATTGCAGCAGACAGCTAGCACACACTGGGCTGCTGGGAAGACTGGAGGAGTGAGGCTTTGGGCCACGTAACACAACAAGGAGTAACAGCCTTGATGTGAGCTTAAGCCAGTGATTGCCCACAGCTTCAGAAGACTGAAGAATCTCTCAAAGAAAACAAACCAAATCACATCACAAAGAAACGAAGAGGGGAGATTGCATCAAATCCCAACACAGACAATAACTTCACAAGTGAAGACTTCAGTTAGACAGAAGCAAAGAAGTGGGAACGACAGAAATATTTCGAGTGGTCACCTTCCCCAAGCAATTATTGACTGAAAGAATCTGCGCTATGTTTGCTGCAGGTTGATTCATTTTTTCAAACCACTTCCTTGAGATAAATTTGTACACTTCTGATCTCAAACAACAATAGTTTTTATTCAGCGTCTTAAATTCAGTACCAACAGATCATGAAATTCCTTCTAAACTTCATACAGAAATTACTTCAACTGCTACAGAAATGCAAAAAAAGACAGATAAGAACATATTTTCCTGCAGCTGTAGCCTATTTTATATACTTGACACTATTAATCTGCTGTTTCCTAAAGGTATTTTTATCCCTTCTATTTGTTGTGGAATGCAATATCCAAGGTCTACTAGCCCAAGCTACAGTGCAGAACAGGCAGAGTGCTCACATGCAAGACTGAATTTAAGTATTAATTATGGTTTTTTAGCTGGTTGAGTTACATCCCTAAACGGATGTAACTGTGTAAATGTGACTCTGACAATATTATTCCATCAATAATTCAAGATGAACCTCCTGCAAAGAAAAAAGAGCCCTTTGCTTTCCACAAGAAGAGAAATGATGTTGCATGGCTTAGCAAAACTAGGAATAACTGCATAAAGTTTCACATAATTTATGCAGAAGCAGCTTCTCAGTTCTTCATGGTGGACAGTAAGATGCAAGACAGCATGCAACAAGCCAAGCATAAAAATAATTCCAGTATAGCTTTTAAGAATAAAAAACTCTGGAAAGATTTTTGTGCTAAGAAATGTGAAAATGCAGAAAACAAGGAAAATTACTTTTCAAGGTTGCTGCTGAAAGTACAAAAAGCACACCATAGTATTAT